GGGGCCCAACTGAGTAGGTTAAACCTTCCCTATCCACCTGAAGACGGAGACAGATCCAGTCTCCGAAACGTCGTGGTTTTTTGTCTTTTATATACCGGACGATGGGTGAAGTCCAAAATAAGCCAAAAGAAGTACAGTATACACCGTCGTCAGAATCCTTTCAAGTCTATCTAATCTTGTGTTATCTGTAATGTTTTGGGAATGTACGTTCCTACACCAGTAATAAAATTCTATTTACCTGAAGGGTTAGTATGCTGAGCTCGTGAGCAGATGTATGCTTATGGCTGATATGCATACCATATTCATACAAATACTTTCATATTTCATCTACGCTGTTTTATGTTTTTGATAATTTATTTTAACTTATATATATATTGTGCATTTTTGTAATGAAACTTTTAAACATGAAGCTATTAGCTGTGTCATGTCTGTGTGTCCACTGAATGAACTTTCATGAAATCTGATTATGGGAAAATTTGTTTGTCAGTATGTCCAATTTTAATTAAAATCTACCAACAATGACACACAAAAGTCCTGCATACATATCTCAGAACAACACTTGCATTAACTCACTACATACACTGAGTGAAAACATTATAAAACAAAAGCTGAAGAGAAAATGAAACATACATTTTATGCCCAATACATTTTCTTTTTCTGCAAGATTCTTTACTTCTTGAGATAATTAAAAAAATAAGCAAATGTGACAGAATTGTTACGCTACACATGCATTTCCTAACTTGTTTAAGGTTTATTACCATAATCTCAGAATAGGTTCATGACATGTTCCCAGAGCTGGAGTTGGAGAAAAAAAGGTTTATATACAACTGACGACTACATAACAAAACTGTGATGAGTTCTAACAAAGCATCATAACTTATATTATAATAGACTTCAAATCTTTCAAATCTGTTGTCAAATTGCTCAAAGAATCTCTCTGTGAAAAACTGCAATAGTGATGGATGAAATTTAGAAATCCAACAGGATTCCAGTACATTAATGCATCTAAACATATAGAAGAATTGCACCAAGCCAAACTTCAATCTCTGGCTTTACCCTTTATTAAATTAAATTAAAATTTGCTTGCCAAATGAGGAAAGTATCATTCAGATAAAATGTCTGTTTATTATGGCCTTATTTTCAAAGATATGACACATATAATTAAACTTCATAGAGATCCTAGAAAAATGTAAACTAACATAATATTACAGTTTCAATACACTTACACATTATCAGTCTCCTGTATATCTCTAACCTTCAAAGCAGGAACTTCTCAATTTAAAACATTCTGTCACAGCCTCATAACAAACATAGCATGTCTATTTTATAAGAACTAAATGGTTAGTGCTATTTCAGGAAATTATCACTATTTATTCTGAGAATCATATAAAATATTTAAACACAGAGTGCAAGGGACATGTAGAGCTCTTAAAGTTGGTACAAAAGATAACCAGTATGCTTTAAACAGCTTATTGAAGAATGCTGAAAGAGTTGGTACAAAAGATAATCACTATGCTTTAAAGGGCTAATTGAAGACATTTTCTAGTGAACCAAATTGTTTACATTCCAATACTTTTCCTTTGACCCTTAACCCTCTTACCCAGTTTTATATAAAACAGGACATTTTAATCAGTTCTTTTCACATACTTCCTTGGTGTCACAATGTGGTCTTTTCTTTGCCAAAGGCCCTAGCCTTTGCACCATCTGAGGCAGATCTGGGTTGCTCTCCAGAGTGGAGCACTGACTAGAAGGAGGATGACTATAGTCTGGAGTATTTTCTTCGTCAGACCCAGCAGCATCAGTTGTGACAGCTACAGATTTCTTCAGTCGACGTACCCTGCATCGTGGTGCAACAGGCCGCCGAGCAAAGCTGTAAATCATCATACATTATGTAGGATTTGAGGCGGCCTTCACAGCAGTGGTTATGAAAAGCCATGTAGTCTGTTGAATGTCAAACGAAATTTCAGAGGAACATGTCACCTACATCTTCAGGGTTCAACAGTAAGCAAAGCAGGCTTTCCCTTGCTGCCTCCATCATACTGGTTCCTTGTTTTGTTTACTCTTAAACCCTGACGATGGAGGCAACATGTTGGTCTGAAATGTTGGCTAACTTTCAGTGGAATACATCACGTTATATCCCAGAAGATTATTCATTATACGCTACTTTCTGATTGATGCAAAATGGAAGTAGTTAGATGTCAACTTCTTGTCAGTGCAGTGCATAATACATGAACCTTACCACACACTAGCAGTCACTATCAAAAACGTCCGAGAAGAATATACATAGCTCACTTGCTCATACTATATTATGAAATATAAATTAATAATTGTTCTATTTAGTGATTGATTTCTGTCAATAATTTCCACTAATACAGATTCTCACTATAACCGAGTTAACAAAAGAATCACCAATTTCCCCCCACCCATCTGCCTAGCAGCTATGTCCTTCAGTATGCCTTCCTCATTCCCACCAGATATCAGTCTAAAAGTCATGTAGTGTAAATAGGATAAAGAACCAGGCAGCCTACAAGTCCCAGTACCCATGTTGAATCTTTCACTGGTTTTACTGTAGGTTAAATTTATCAGATATAACCTGAAGGGTTAGCACCGTCTCCATTAACAGTAAAAAAATATTTCTTCCAGAACACAAAATACTGTGTGATACCATCAGTTTCTGGCACAGTAAGAATAACGAGAGGAGTCAACATGTAATTAGATTGGATACCAGGACAGAACTACACGGATTCATTATGGAAGACTGCTACATTTGAAACAAAATTTTAACAAATATATTGGAAACCTGTTACAGAACTTAATAATAATGAAAATAACAAAAGAAGACAATGACAATAATAAAAAACTATTGCATATAACTGTACAACCAGTAACTTCATATAAGAAAAATCTGATACATTTCCTTGCATGCTGATGATCTTTTATGAAATGTATGCTGTCATTACGCACACACCTTCCTCTGTGAAGTACACAGCTGTCTACTGGGTACTCTCCTTCTTCCTCATCTGACCAGCTTTCACACATATCATCTCTTGAGTCCTGAGAGTCTAGGGTTTCAGAACTATCTCCCTGTCTCAGCCTCAATTTTGAAACTGAACGAACTGAATCTGCAGAAACAATAACAGCCCGATACTGGGCTGACAGCTCCTGGTCACCTCTACCAACTGCCGCAATTTTCCTGGCTAGTTCTTCATCACTACAAAGGCCCTCCCTATGATTTAATCCTGTTAGTATTGAAATAACATCATCAGGGTTCCCATTATTGGCAGTTGTTTCAATTGCAGGTGGTGCTGATGCTCTATTTCCATTTAATATTTCATTCACTTTCCTTCCAAGGCTTTCCAAATGTTCATCATCACTTTCACGAATAGACAGTCTTAAATTGCTATTTGGTTCAGAATCAAGCGAGGGGTCAGGCCGTAGCCGCAGTTCAGCCTCATCACACTTTAGGCTATTCCCATTCAAGCTCTCTGTTCCTGGGGATATATCAATCACTTTGCGTTCCTCCACCTCTTTCACAATGCCTGCCTGGGACACAGTCACATTAAACTGACGGCCAGCAAAGTAGGGATTAGGACTTGCGTCAGTTTCACTGATGTCCATCATTTCAGTCTGCGTCTCCCCATCCACCAAATTCTGCAGTTTGGAACTAGCCTCATTCTGTAAAAAAAAAAAAACAATTTTTTGATGTAACACATAATTAATTCCTTTAGTTAGAGGTCATCTATTATAGCTAGAACTCTTTGTGTCTAGATATGCAGAAGTTTACACTCATTCCGGTCATCAGTAGGACACCAGTTTTCAATATCTGACTTGCCTCAAGGCTCATAATATCCACTGTCTAAGTGTCATTACAAAAACAGAAGCCTTTAAATAAATCATACTTCACCGCAATTTTGCATTTTACTGCAAACTAGTTTAAGAGCCATTGAGAATTCTATGGCAAACCTCGTCATTTGTTATACAAGCATTTATACTAGTAACTTTCCCTTCTTTCTTCTGCATTCCTTTTCAGTCCTACACATTAATGAATGACGCACCGAGGCTGATGTTTAACACCACCTCACATGAATAACAAGCATAAACAGTCACTCATAAACTATCTCTTTTATAGCACACCACACTTCACATATCCACATCAGAATATTATCACTACTCAGAACAGACATGACTGAAACGAAAGACTGCTCACTTGTTCATAACCTATTATATATTACAATCATGCAATATGTTAAAACATTCAACAGTTACTGCTATAGCAATCTGAAATTTTGCAAATGACAATGGACAATGATAAAATTTGATGCATAAAAAACTTTTCATATACTGTGTGTGTACATATACATATACAGAGTGTCCCAGGAGGAATGTGCCAGACTTCGGGAGGGTGTTCCTTATGTTAAAGTATGCCTATATAACCCAAAACACCTATGTCCAAAGTTGAACGGTTACGGACATAATGGCCAGAGAAGTGTGAAACTCTGACAGGTGTTACACACTTGTTGATTACCAAATACATATTAACCTTTAAGTGCCGAAGTGCCCCGTTTGTACCAGTCAGGCATTTAAACTCGGCTAGTGGAAGCGCGCGCACACACCACTAGTGGAAGCACATGCACAGTCCTAACTCTTTATTTTTAAATGTAGTAATTACCAGACAGACTTGAGTAAAACCCTAATAGAGGAATTAAATTGATACCTAAGTGAACAACAGCAAATAAAAATATACATATGAGTTATGCCAAACTTATCCACGATCCAGTAATTTTATTGCAGATCCTGCAGATAGGTATGTTAAAAATATATTGTAAAATTCGATGTACATACCTTTTTTGTTGTTACCTGCTTGATGTATATATAGGCTGAAATTATACTACAGTATTCGATTTCACTACGAACGCACAGAAAACAGATCGCACTCTGTATCTTAGCAACGATGCAGCTGTCTGCTCATTCAAATAGAAGGGGCAATAAACTTTTACAGCTCTAACGGAAGGTCTTAGGACTGAAGAAGGGACCCCTCTAGCTTTCTCTTCAATAGCCATGCTTTCATTCTTCTGACCTTCAGTCAAAAGATTCGAAAATCCGAAGAGTGTAAGCAGTGATAGCAGAAGGCCAAATGATTTTATTGCTTACATCTGTTTTATGACACCAGGGACTGCTAAAATTCGTCAAGTGTTACAAACAGAAATGAATTTATAATGCAGAACAACTCTGTGAAGAACTGGGATACCATTTTTGCAGTAAGCATCAAAATTAAAACAAAAAATTGAAAATAGAGTATAACACTTTGTATTAAAAATTTCAATTCTTCCGTTATAATATGCGACACTATGTTCTTTGCTGATATAAACAAAGTTAATACCATCCATTTATCATAAAAATTGAGCAAGATACAGCATTTTTAAACACAACGCTTAAAAGTTATTAAGCGCCTAATAGGAACGGACATTTAAACGCAGAGTAGCAACGGGCATTTAAACGCGCACCAGCAGCAGGCATTTAAATAAACTCCGGCCAGCTGAAGCTTACCACTATTTCGAAGTCCGGCGTGTAAAGGCTAAAACTGGCAGGAATATGTGGTTTCTGTAATGTTAATAATGCACGTAACATCAAACTAACTTGTGAGTGACATGAAGCCACACATTCACAGAAAATCTCTTTTGGAATGTCGTTTCCATTATCTCATGTGGATTATTATGGGACCACGTACGCACATTTTGTAAATTATTTACACCGTCCCGGGTAAAAGACACCTCATCACTTAATAAAGTGACGCTTAACAGTTTGGGATGAGCTTTTATCCTGTGACAGAAATCCATATGCTGAGCATGGTCACCTGGTTCCAGATGTTGTACCCTTTGATCATGGTAAGGATACAACTCTTCATCATGTAAAGTTCGCCACACCTGCATATGTGATATGGTGATTCAAGAGGCCACTGTATGAGTGGACAGATGTGGACTTCTCTGAACCATCTCAAGGATGTTCTCTCGTGTGTTTATCATACGTACATCCTCCCTTTCAGAGTGCACAGAAACACTTGGAAGAGAACCAGTATCATGCAATGTCTGGTGAATTCACGTAAATACACTTCAAGATGGAATCCTTCGATCGGGAAAATGCCTTTGGTATTCTTCAACAGCAGCACGTGCATTGCCACCGCAAAATCCATACATAAAATGCATATCACAATATTCCATGTGTGAAAACACAGAAGGCATTTCAGCTACTCCACACAATTAATTTACCAACCATTCACAATGCGGCCGCAACGTAACCTGAAGGTAGCACATAAGCTTACGGCTAGTGTGAATCACCACACAGACAACCTTTCGCTTGCAACATGACAACGCTAGACCCCATGCCAGTTTGGCAACCACCGCGCACATTGCAAAGTTTGGCTGGACTGTCCTACCACATCCACCCTATAGCCCCGGTTTAGCACCTTCAGACTTCCATCTCTTTGGGCCTATGAAAGATGGACTACGTGGGCAACATTTTCCAGACAATGATGCTGTCATTGCAGCTGTAAGAAAGTGGCTAGCCTCTGCTGGCACAGACTTTCACGGGCACGGCATACAGGCTCTTGTTCATCACTGGCAAAAGTGCATAACAAATGGTGGTGATTATGTGGAAAAATAACTGTAAGTAGCTGAAATCTTGCTCTATTTAACTGCATTATTATGCTTTCTGTATCTGTTGTAGTTTTCTTTAAAAAAATAGGAGGCATTATATACGGAACGCTCCTCGTAGATACATATAGGCCTCACATCAAACAACAAGGCCATTAAAAAAAAAAGAGATCTTAAGTCCAAGCATTCTAGATCTAGAAGAAACAGACTCAATAATAATAAGTAATACTAAATAATTTATTCTGATATGCAATCTTAAGTTTCAAAATAAAGCTGTATTGCCTAAAATGACATGTGAAATCCAAAATAACTTCCCTATTTTCAGTAGCACCTCTACATAATTTGGACTGTCAATAATTTGGACAAGAGTGTTCCCAATTAGTGTGAATTAGTGAGGTCTTACTGTATACTCATATGCATTAATTATTTATTACCCCATGCAGCATGTGGTTAATGTGGCTAATGTGTGTGTGTGTGTGTGTGTGTGTGGGGGGGGGGGGTATGTCTTGCTGTGGAAACAGTAGAAAATAATAAGAACTGCAAAAGGAGTCATGCTGAAAATGCAGGTATTCTTTTGCTGTGTTATATAGACTTTGAAGTTTTATATTTCTTTCTTGCAAGAAATAAAAGCAGCACTGCACCTACCTACTTAATGTATTAAAAACTCCTATGTGAAATGTTTAATAAATGCATCCGTCATTCCCTATTGCTTCAAAATAGCTCATTATCTAAAACCATATTTCATGTGCAACACCAGAAACTAGATTTCTATTTGGATTACTTAATACAGCTTTATCAACTAAACAGGTCATGTAATATCAGATAAATAACATGATAATTATGAATTATGAACTGGTTAAGAATTTGGAGAGTGTAGTTGATACTTGGTATTGAGGTACTATTACAGAATTTTCCTCTACAGACTGATGAAAACCACAGAAAATCCAATCAGTCTCTCAGACTGAGATCTGAACACATAACATAGGAATACTAACCTCTCCAATACATATCTCTGAAAAACAAATTTTCTGCTCTCTAGCATACTGGTTACTGAAATTATGATCTACCTCAAAATGAAGAATAGACTGAACAATAAACCTTTGTTTATCCAATACTGATAAATTTTAATTTTCTGCACTGCATATTATACTGTATTATTTCAACTTATCATTACTGAATAATACTCATATTCTTAATTTCTCCACACCTTTTTGTCTTGATTTGGACTGGATTTTGTGAAGCTACTTCTCTGCCTACATCTACGTTGTTTCAAAAGATGTTCATAGGATGCCCCTCCAGTAGTCGTGATTATGGACTCTGGCTGCTGTGATGCACTGTTGCATACTAAAGCTGCCATGATGGGGTTCTATAATTGAAAAACTGGAATTATGGTTCATATTCACACCCGAAGCGCATTCTTTTAACACACAAAAAGAATCCTAGTACACTGTACACCATGAGAACCATAAATTTATTAGTATTATTTGCTGATGACACAAGTATTATTGTATCTAATTTGAATCCTGAAAAATTTAGAAGTAATGTTACCTTAATTTTTAATGAAGCAATGATATGGTTTAAAAAAAACTTTTTAACTCTAAATTGTGATAAAACACAGTTTTTACAATTTTTCCTAAAGAAGCATAGAGAAATAGAAATCCAAAGTACAATTACTAATACATTAATTACAAATATTAATTGTTCAAAGTTTTTGGGAATAAATATAGATAGTTCATTGTCATGGAAAAATCACTTAACTTTATTATCAGTAAGACTAAGCAAAGCATGTTTTGCAATAAGGGCAATAAAACCCTTTATGTCATTGGATACAATAAAGACGATTTATCACTCTTATGTGCATTCAATATTGAAGTATGGCATTATCTTTTGGGGTAATGCCCCTTTTAGTAAGAACATTTTTAAAATACAAAAAAGAATCATAAGAATTATGTCTGGATCAGGAAAATATGATTCTTGTAGGGAATTGTTTAAAAAGTTACAAATATTGCCACTCCAATCTGAATATATTTTTTCTTTGCTTCTCTTTGTTATTAAGAATAAAAATTATTTCAAATTTAATACAGAAATACATAATATTAATACCCGTTATAATTACAATTTACACTTACCCTTTACAAATTTATCAATTGCACAAAAAGGAGTCCTGTTCTCTGGAAGCAAATTGTATAATAAATTACCTTTGAATATTAAATCATCATCTGGAGAAATTAAGAAGTTCAAATTTTTATTGAGAAGATATCTCACTGAACATGCATTTTATAGCATTGATGAATTTTACCAAACTACTTCCCGATGAATATTTTTATAATACTTTATTAATAATTTATTTGTTAACACACGATTACATTAAATTATGTAAATGATTTCAGACTATTGTATGACTGTGACAGGTATATATGATATTTAACTGGTATGTGAGGCGTTATATTTATTGCTTATATTTATCTTGAAACTAAAGCGCATAATAATCTTTTGTACTTAATATATTTTGGGTGGAATTGTATATAGAAGATTCATGCTACTGATAATTTAAATTCTTTGTTTTAATTTGTTTGTATTTAATGAAATTGTTATTACACTGTGTACTATTTTATATCGTTTTTATTGTTTATCTTGACTGTTTCAATGTTTGGAACTTATTTTAATATTATTATTGACATGTTCTATATCCAGGGTTGTATTTCAACCTATGTTTTGGATTTACTGAATTTGAAATAAATAAATAAATGAAATGAACACATACTGGTGATATAAAATCAAAAACAAACATTGCTGTTTTGCTACTTAACTACATATATGAATATAAGTTCAACAAGACATGCAATGCCATCAACTTAAGTGTTTTCACATCATTCACTTGATAATACAGGATCTGTCTGTCTCTCAGAAACATCTTCACAACATCGCAGGCTTGACACACTTCGTAGAATCTTAGTAAATTCAATGTCAGATTCTGAATCAAACTGGGTTTCTGTTTGGGAATTTCTAACAGATTAAGAATTACTTTTCACAAAAATTTGGAATTAATGAATCAACAACAATTTCAGAGTTAACTTATGAAACCTACTTTCCTTTAAATGTTCAGTCCACGTGATGAGGCTAGTAAGAACTATGAATCAATAATTATACCACCTAGTGATCTAGTTCTGACCATTACTTCCATTAGTAAAGCATTGACTATACTATATTCACATCACTGGAATGTTTGTAATTATTAACATATACAGGAACCTTTCCCACAGAACTGGAACTATGTTTATGATCTAACTTCATACTGAATGTCACATACATTTGGTCAGTAGTTACCACCATACACCAAAAGCTAAAATATAGATTTCATGAGCCGTTATGCTGATCTTCTACGCTCTACAAAAAATTTTTTCCTTAAATTCATTTGGGGGGGGATACATTAAATTGCTCCCCCTTCACAGTTTCATACAACTCCACGTTCATATTATTAATGGCAGGAAAATGAAGAATGACCGCCTCTGTGGTCTAGTGGTCAGAGTTCCTGGCAGTGAAAAATTGTCAGTTGGTTCAAAAGGTATTATGGGTGACAGACAAAGATGTGTAGAGAGATAAGGTACAAACACGGGCCTTTAATTCCTTACAAAATAAATCAATGAAGATAAACACATTGATTTGAACAGTTCACATGTGTTAGTTGTTTATGCTCTGAAGAAAAATTCACTCTAGAGAGCTTATTTTTTTGCATTTCCTTCCTGAATGGTATCAGTGATAACTATTAATTGAATTTTAATTAGCCATTCCAAAAAACCTACAGAAATGTGGTTACTATTGATTAATGGATGATTCTCACTAACCCCATGTGCCCAGTTCTGTGGTGACTCTGGACTAGTTTGCATCTCAGGTGAAGTAGGGGTGGAACGATTGCTAGATGAGTTGTGCTTGCACAACTGCTTCTGAGCTTTCAGCAGTGAGTGCTTTATTCCAACCTTCTTCTCTCGTCTAGAAACAATACAAACATGGATGTTAGTGAAACAAAAATTTGAGTATAAGAAAATAACAATTCGCCTCATTTCAATACTGATTTAAGAGAAACTGGCAGAATAATGAACATGAGTTGCACTCACATAAACTACAGGATAGCAGGAGCGAAAATCCCCCAAATTCTTTGACAATTGTAACAGAACTCTTTTGAGTATACTTTACAGAACTGATGTTTAGCCGGCTGGTTCAGTACTGAATCTGACACAAATGTTATTAAATGATTAGACTAGAGGTTCAGCACGTGACTGCTGAGAAATGTGAAAGATAAGAGATTAACAATGCTGACATCTTTAAAAAGCATAGAAAATNGATGAGGTGGGCAAGACATGTAGCACGAATGGGGGAAATGAGGAATGCATATAGTATATTGGTGGGAAAGCCAGAAGGAAAGAGACCATTGGGAAGATCAAGGTGTAGGTGGATGAACAATATTAAAATGGATGTTAGAGAGACAGGATGGGATGGTATGGATTGGATAGATCTCGCTCAGGATAGGGACCAGTGGACGGCTCTTGTGAACAAGGTAATGAACCTTCGGGTTCCATAAAATGCTGGGAAATTCTTGAGTAGCTGCAGAATTGGCAGTTCCTCCAGAAGGGCTCAGCTTCATGAGCAAGTAAGTTTTTTTTTTATTAAGAAGGTGGTATAATTCAATGCTATTCCCTAGATACAGACGTGCTTACTTGAGTAATTCCTGCTCCCACTTCTCTAGCTGCCGTTGCTTCACTTTCAGCACCTGTTCTCGCTGTTCCACTTGAAGTAACTTCACCATTAGCTCCTGTTTCTGCTGATCTACCTGCAGTAACCGCGTTATCATCTCCATGTACATGTCATTGACACGGTCTAAGTTGTGCTCATAGTGCTCCCTGATATCTTGAGCATGTTTCAGTTCATCATTTCTCTTCTTAATGATGTCTTCTTCATACTTTGGCAGATGGGTTCCATTTGACTGCATCTGCTGCATGTGTAATCTTATTTCCTGTTTCCATGTTGCCTGCAAAAATAAATTACAATTAATTTGTACTATACAATATATTGTTATTTATCATAAAATAAATTGAAGTTTATTATCTTGAAAGGAGAACCTTTATGCATGAACTAAAATATTTTTCTGTCCAAATACATCACCAGAAGAATATCATTATCATTCATTAAGATTAAGTGTAACTAATCACAACATACTGACATTAAATGTCTTAAATTTGTTTCTTTAATCTGCAGAGTTTCTACTTATATGTACAAGTACATACTTCCAGTTTGAGGATAAATTATATCAGCAAAAAGAAGGTATGATAATGGTAAACTATCTCTGGTGGTCAGTAACACATTTATGGACCACTCTGAGGAAATAGCACTGGATACAGCAGACCACAAACCCTCTAAATGGCTCACATACGTCGATGACGTTTTCATGGCTTGGCCACATGGACCAGCAAGATTACAGCAATTTCTTCACCATTTCAACAGCATTACACCTTCCATCAAATTCACAATGGAAGTTGAAGCTAATGATACCCTTCTATTCTTGGACATTTTGGTCCTGAAGACGGGTCCAAAACTGGCCACAAAAGTGTACTGGAAACCTACTCATACTGGTCATTATCTGCACTTCAAGTCAAACAAATATCATGTAAAAAGGGGAGTCATTCACAGTTTTATCAGCCAAGCCAAGGTCATCAGATGGATTTCAAAAACGAAATTAAGAACATACGAGTATGACATGATCTGATACTTAATGAATTCCCACAAGAATTTGTTGGCTTCATATTGAAGCCACTGAGAAGCAACCATCCTTCTTCAAATATAATATAACAGAGCACTGTCATTATCCCATATGTTAAGGGTATTTCAAAGAAATACAGACACACTGGAAACCGTTCCAATGTTAGCACCATTTTCGAAGCTAAACATACACTCTATGGAACACTGATAAAAACTGGACCAGTTCTAGATGCCAAGCAGATGAAGAAGTGTGTGGCTGTGGCAGATGTTACATCAGCAAAATAAGTAGACCTTCAGAAGTATGCATTAAAGAGAACAAATATAACCTGACACATGGTCTGCTTGAAAAATCAAAAGTAGCCCAACATGCATACAAAGAAGGCCACAAAATATGTTGGAATGAAGCAAAGGGTCTTGCACACTGAACCAAACACTACCTACACGAAATACAAGGAATCTGCCCGCATGTCTCTGATAGAACATTCGATCTGTCATCCCAGCTTGGACATCTCTCCCATGTGGACTCACTTTATCACAGCAGAGATCAAAAGAATACATCTCTGTCCAGTGTAGATGGAGTGGGAAAATTTGTGTTCACGTGTTGGTACCATACAGAGAATTTCTTTCTCCAGTGATGGCATCTATTCTGATAGTTCTCTAACACAAGGTCTCATGTGTGTGGAGTTTTTTTTTTTTTTTTTAATATTCTAATGTTTTGTCTTAGTTCTTGCAGATGGTCTGTACTGTGCTTGGCTTGTATACCTAATCTTGAGTTAATGAAAATGTCCAAGGATAGGGACTAGCTCTATCTGTTGGGCCCAACTGAGTAGGTTTATCCTGAAGATAGAGACAGAATCCAGGTTAACAGGAGGATGGGTAATGTCCAGAAACGTAATATTTGCAACTTGGAATTGTATAATACTGGCAATCAGTTAGACAAGGCCAAAAAATATTTTTGCTCCACTTGGATCTTCAATGTGGCATGTCAGAAAGTTTTAGTACAAGGCACAATAAACCAGTTATGGCCTAACATATATAAAGACTTGTGCCCCATGATTGTGAAGCAAGAATGCAATATTGCCAGATTATTTCAAGCACTGCTGTTCAATGAATTACCTGATCCACATCCCATATCAAGAGCTTTTAATTCATGATGAAGAGTAATTTAGTTTAAGCCGCTACACGGCAGTTAAGATTTGAAACAACTGCTAATCAGTGCAGAAAGTCACAGTGCACTCCCCTGTGTCTAAGAACATTGTCTCAAACAGGCAAAACTAACTTGGAATAAAAAAAATTGTACTTCAAGATTTCATACAAAAAGGTATGTTATACTCGATGGGAACGTCAGGCCATGTTTTCATAATAATCACTTGTTCACTGAGTGAGAGGTTACTCATTTTCTCTAGTGTACTGTCTTTCTGTTAGGGACTCTGCATATCTGCATTATAATTCCTGTTTGAGACATGATATGGACATGAGACTGTTTTCACAGTGCAATAGGTGCCCTATTACTTTAAACAATTCTTTAAATGTAAGATTTGAGGTTTTCACGGTGGTGACTATGAAGAAAGCCGTCTTCTGGGATGTAGCGCTGTGTAGAAATTGTGTTAACCAATGTTTCAGAGGAGCGTATCGCCTCCATCTTCAGGGTAGAAGACAAGAAGAAATCCACGAGTGAACCAGCTAGAGCAGGTGCAACAGACTGAGAGTCTCTAGCTGGTTCGCTCGTGGATTTCTTCTTGTCTTCTACCCTGAAGATGGAGGTGATACGTTCCTCCAAAACGTCGGTTAACACAATTTCTACACGGCGCCACATCCCAAAATGTGTGATGAACACTTAGAATGACATGAAGATCAAGAGTTTACTATTAACCTTGCTAATATAAAATAAGATTTTACTTCTTTCAATTTCTGATCAATACTATTTCACTGCCAAAACACTTTACAAGCACATTTCTCCTTCACAGCACATGTTTCCACATCCTTTTTGACACTGTACACAAAAATGGTCATATCCTGAAAAGCTGAACAAAATTTTACCAGAATTTGTGCATGCATTACATATTCACATGTCAAACATTATTCATTACCTCTCTAGAAATTTCTGACTGTGGAAACATGGAACACAATAATCTCTCATCTACAGACTGCATTTCTTTTCGAAGATATTTGCATTGCCTGTTGACAAATGCTTCAGACTAATGCAACAGTAAGAAATACAGCCAGCTGATAACAGAATCTCTTCCAGTGGAGAATTACAGGAAATCTGTTTATCTGTCCAATAGTCAGCATGTAACATTAGGCACACATCATATCTAGATACAAAGATTTGTGTCATGTTCATGAAAGAATTTGACAATTTACTTTAAAATGTAAAGTTCTCCATATTTATTTCTTTGATTATTTATGGTATATTTAATGATGTTGCAGTAGCTCAAATTATATAGCACTGAATGGTAGCATAATTAGTGACTGGAAATGGTCATAATGTAATTTGAGGTGTTAGCCCAACTTGTGCCTGGGCAAACTGATGAAAACCATGAAAAACTGCACTCAGAATTGATAATATATGGGCTGAGATATCAATTTGGGCCTACCAAACACAAACCAAGAGTTCTGCTTACTTAATTGCAACAATGAAATGAAGCTGTCCATTTGTTTCTTAAGACATTTTGTATTATCAAAATACAAGTATAGTTTAATGTTAAATACATATAATAAAAGAAAAATAAAAACAAAAACAAACTCCATGGCCTGTAGACTGCAAGCCAATTATATTGACTGAGTGACTGCCACTTTTTGGCGAAGTCAGTGCCAACTTTAGCAGAGGTGTCGTGTGGTCAGCACAACGGATCCCCACGACCATTAATATTGGTTTTCTAGAGTGGAGTCGCTATCTCCTTCAAATAGTCCCTCAATTATCCTCATGAAGCTGAGTGAACCCTGTTCCAGACTCACTACCTCTCAGAAAATCTGGTAGCGAAGGGAATTGAACCTGGGACCTCTGGATCTGTAGCCAGGGACTCTGGCCACTAGACCACAGAGGTGGCCTAAGATAAAAAAATACGCATGATAAACAGATATTAATTACTATTTCCAACAGTGTTCATCATTTACTGCCCTAAATAAACACAAATAAAGGAATGATTGTGCAGCCTTGCTACTATGACCTACATACCTGTGTTCTGAGGTAGTCTTCAGGTGACTTGTTCAGAACTTCTACAGCTGCGATGTCCAAGTGGATAAGGATGTTCTTGAATGAAGGCCTGTTTCGAGGCTTAGCATTCCAACATTGTTTTACCAGCAAGCGGAAACCTTCTGGACATGTTGTGGGGATTGGAAGATGCAGGGAATAATTCCCTACTCCAAACATAATGGCTGAAGAATCTACATCTTTGTATGGTGTTTCACAAGTCAAGAGTTCCCACAGCACAACACCATATGACCTGAATAATGTACCACAAATGTAGTTGCTGGAATAAACATCTATTCAAATTAAGTAGTCAAATAATAATTCACATACAAGTCTTACCATATATCTACTTTCTCTGAGCATGGTTCATTACGTATAATTTCAGGAGCCATCCATGCTACGGTTCCCGCAAAGGTCATTTTGATACTAATCTCATTCCATTCTCGACTTGTACCAAAATCACTTATTTTCACAATCTCTCCACGACCAATTAGAACACTGTAAAAAAAAAAAAGACAACATTAACAACAAATTTAACAAAATACTCAATTCTGTTATTCCAATTAAGTACTTCACTTACAATGGAATTTAACACTGATATGAGTAATGCTCCACATGTGTAACACTACCAACACATGCCAGCTTTACACCCCTGCCACTTTTGAACAGTGGGAAAGCATTAAGTACCTGAAGGATATGAGGCTGGTACCACACTGTAATTCTGTAAATGATGCTGATGAGAAAATACCAAACACCATTACTGGGAATGAAATTCGGCAGAAACTTACTAAAATAATGCTCCTGGACCATCTGAAGCAATTAAGGTAGCCACTTTACGTAAAGGCCAAGATGTACTCTGCTACATCCCTCATTTAGTACTTTCAAAACATTAATGTATTATCAACAAAAAGTTTTAAAATTCAATAGCTCCAGACTTACAGAACTTAACTATGGAAGGCAATCTACATTGTTTTATACATTCCAGAAAGTTGTCATAATTTTATAAGCATCAAAAATAACTATAAATGAAAAGTGTTTTAACCTCAAGAAGTCACTGTGGTGTGTTTCTTACTTTGGGCTCTTGAGATCACGATGAATAATCTTGTGAGAGTGTAGGTAGTGCATTCCAGACGCAATCTGTTTTGCCCAATTGACAAGCCGCAGTGGTGGAACTTCCTCACCGTCCTTGAGTAGATTGTATAATGGGCCATATGGACAGTATTCCATGATGATGCAGTAGCAAGGGGCTTGGGTGCACACACCCCTGGAAATGACAATATTGTTACAATTTGAGGCATGCCACTTTTATATAAAAATATTTGATACACAATACAGCTACTGTAATGCAGCTACTGTGTACGTGATTATTTTCTAGCTATATGGGTTTACAAAAAAAATTCATATTTTGGAATCCATAAGAAGTGCAAATTTCATATACTATGCATTTTTATCATGCCTCATTGGTAAGCTAATTAAATAATATTACAGTACTTCAACTTTGGCTTATATGTTGGTGTGGTCATGTACATAGGGAAGTAAAAAATTATCCACACTCTTGCTTTTCCAATCCATATATACAAAAGTAGGGGTTGAACAAGTACTTCATTTTTCTGCATAGTCTCCTCCCTTTTCGGTGCACTTTGTCCAGCGGTCCAAAAGCTTGCGTATTCCCTCCACGAAGAAGGTTTTCGGTTGGTCGCACAACCATTTATGCACCGCTTCCCCCACTTCTTTGTCCGTAGAAAATCAAAAACCTCGTAAAACATCTTTGAGTGGTCCAAAGAGATGATAGTCGGAAAGGGCGAGATCTGGGCTGTAGGCAGGGTGTTCCAGCACCTCGAAACACACATGGTTAATGGTTTCAAATGTCTGGCCGTCCTTGTGTGAGTGTTCATTGTCATGCAACAACAACACTTTCTTCGACAATAGGCCTCAGCGTTTGGTGCGAATTCCTGGCTTCAAATTGTTGGCCAGCAAATCAGTGTATCTTGCACTGTTGATCGTACACCCTTTTTCCAGGTAGTCTTCCAGTATAGGCCTTTTTGAGTCCCATAGAACGGTCAGCATCACCTTTCCCACAAAAGATTGAGTCTTGAATTTCATCTTCGTTTGCGATCCCGGGTGTTTCCACGCCATACTCTGACTTTTGGATTCCGGATCATAGTGATGAACCCACATATGAATTTCAGCCCCTGACACACCTTCCAATCAGAGAAATCGGATCACTATTCTTTGTTAATCATTGGTGCACACTGCTAGCAGAGCGGCCATGTTTACACTGTCACAGCATCAAGGAAAATGATGCGATCAAGGTAAAACTTCGATCATGTGACCACAGTAGTACCAATTCTAACAATGCATGCATAGGAGGCAGTGTGATAAACCTAAAGATGTGTTATTGAGAAAGTGCGGATAATTTCTGACTTACCCTCGTATACAACTTTCAAATTCACAAATATCATTTATGGCTTCTTCTTGAATAAATACCACAACAAGAACAATAATTATCACTGTATCCTGTACCTCTCCTCATTTAAAAAGCAAAATAAATTATGCAAGTAATACATATTATTTTTATTATTAAGAAATTAAATTAAAATGAGACCAGTTACAGCATCTTATCAAGAGTGCGTAAAGAGTAAAACAAATTTTCTTAAAAACCCGTAAATTCAATCATCTGGAATTAAGCAGAAAATGAGCATGTTACTATCTTTTACCTATATTACAAAATAAAACTTAAAAGAGTATTGCAACTGATAAGAAAATTTGTTGTTAAATACAAAACAACATCTACAGTTCATACATAATCATTAAACACCCCACAAACTAAACCATCTTTTTAAGATAACATTCAGGGACAAGTAAAAGAAACATGTATGCAGTAATCAGTGTGTGCATTTCACAGTATACTGCATCCTTTTCAAAAAGCCTCTATTTCTGTCACTTCTGTGATTCACCTGTGGTCACACTGATTACCTCGTTCCACAGCAGCTTGTATCATTTAAGAATTTCTGACAGGCTTTCACACAAGTCTCCAACCAGTTTCCAGAAATTATTCTAAAACTGGTCTCAAATACTGAGACTGTATAATGAAATTTTATAAACCACTCCACAGGAACTTTGGGAGAAAGGAACTGCGGATTAAAAGACAAATTTTAAGAAATGTTCATATAATCTGTCATGAAGCCACCTCATATGATAGTAATACCTAAACTATACAGAAAATCAAGCAAAGGAAGTGGAAGTGGGCTGGGCATGCAGCATATCTAAACTTTAGCGGATAGAGGGTGTTGCATGGTCAGCGCAATGAATCCCCACGGCCCCTAATTTAGGTTTTCTAGACTGGAACTGCTATTTCCTTGACACAGCTCCTCAGTTATCCTCACAAGCTTGAGTGGACCCCGTTCCAGACCCACTACTTCTCAGAAAATCTGGCAGCGCCAGGAATCGTACTCGGACCTCAGGATCTGTAGCCAGGAACTCTGACCACTAGACCACAGAGGCAGAAGTTTTATCTACAGTTATTGAGGTGGACTAGGCAGAATTACAAACAGACTTGACATAAGATTACGTGGGTTTATTTGATCAGTGTGGTCTAGTGTGCATCCATACCTCACCTCATTAGGTTTACAAAGGGTCTTTGTTATATGAACTTGACAAAACAGGTTATACTGTTAATTTTACTCACTTGAACTGCACAATGTTGGGGTGATTGAGTTTCCTGAGATTCCGAATGTCAGTCTCCTTCTGCTCCCTCACTTTCTTTACAGCAACCACTTCTCCTTTAAGCTTGCCACTGAAGACGGCACCTTGGGCCCCAGAACCCAGCCACTTCAGGTCACTGATAGTCTCAAATGGTATCTCCCAGTCATCTGCACATTTTAAAATCAATGGTAAACACAAGTAACTTCGGTAATTAGGGAATAAGTGAAAATTCTTATTGTTAATATACCAACCTATAGTTTTCAATTCATCAGTCTTCATAACAGACCTGCAGACTTTAATGGGCCAGATATTACTATCATGAAAAACCTGTGATAACCTTAAAAGATTGCTCTGTACACAAAGTTCCGAAACCAGATAGGGATTTCTTTTCATTAACACTAATTAGTCTCAACTTTACTACTATAATATATTCCACAAAAGTACAGGTTTCAGACTTCATTTTATACCATCAATAAAATATGAAGCTGAAACACTTGAATGGAAAGATATAAGAATAAAATTCTAGCTGCTGAGAAAAATTTCTAAAGAGAATGGCAGGAAAAGAGGGCTAAAGTAAAAAAAAATATAAAAAAAAAAGATAAGAAAAATAAACAAACCAAATTGAACTACAGGATAATTTAAAATATAATAAACTAAACTGGTATTAAAGATATTCTGGAAATAACTTATAACAACTTTCTTTCAAATGGTTTAATCTATGTGCAGACTAGCAATAACTATAAATTAATAATCAAGCAACTTAGTGACATATTTCTGTGCATAATCTTCCTAGCATGAATTCAGACTATGTTAAATATTTCAGATATAAGCTCCAAGATTCATATTGCTCCAAAGTTTGTAATTATTAACATACCACAGAAAACAGTGTTCTTATATCTATATCAACACAGAATTTTTAGCCTCCAACGGTTCATTAGCCACTGTCAAGAAACAGAGTGCTAAATATGGATTACCTGTAGATGTCATGTTGCTAATTTACGTGCTACATAAAACTGTCTTCAAAATTTACATTTTCAAAGATATACTGCCACATTACTATGGGTTTTAAAGGTTTAGCCACATTGTATATTTCAGCTGTTCCATTGTTTTAGTACACATGGCATCTGCATATTCAGGTCTTTTATGAAATTATTCCCATTTTTTCCTTCACATTCACCCACAATGTGACTGCAATGTACACCAAAACATGGGAACATATTCAGCATAAAATGCACGTAAACCCCAAAAGCCAAGATTGTACATGAGACATTATGAAAACCTTAGGACCAGAGTACTCACATGTAGTCTTCTGATTAAACATCTCTCGTGCATCAGGTTTAGAACACACAGCAGCCAGCCACATTTCATTAAATTAATGCTGACTGATCATATATATTATACATTACATTAACATCACACCATGGAAACATAGCTTTTTAAAGTTTGTTTAAATTTTCAGCACTGGAAATTATTTGATCACCTTGACGTCCTTTGATTTCATTGGCAGCTGCCTTGCCGATGATGGTCCAAACTGGCCGAAGACAGCCCAAGAGACCATCAATCCAGCCAGCATGTTGAGCTGCTGATGGGTTCTGATAGTCAACACTGACACCAGGACTGGAGGGAGACTGCTTGGTAGAGTCATCATGATCATCATCATCACATGGCTCTTCTGGAGGAGGCTCCTCTTTGGGTGAAGAAGACTGGAGGCTCAACTGCCCCAATTCCTCTTTGATGCACAATATGCTGCAATAATTAAGAATAATTTGTTCAATTTTGTTCAATATTTACTCAGCCACTGTAATGTGTACCTCTGTGGTTCTCAATCTTTCCTGATTCATGGACGGACAATAGACAACACACAGTATACCTAATAATTATTAGTGATCTAAAGGTGTTTCATTATAACATACAGATAACACCATTTGTGTTGTACTTATTCAAAATTTTAATCAAGTACTTTAACAAATATTTTGCTTAATTTTTTAAATTCCTGAATCCTGAATACCTGAATTATTTACATTTGACGCAGAGTGTTTCCTTTAATTTTGCAATCACTAAATGGTAGTCAGTATCACAGTCAGCCCTTCTATATGACAGAACACAATCTTACCTAAATATCTTTCTTCGTTAAATAAATATAGTAAATCTTACCATGCGCCATCACACAACAAGAAGTTCAATATCGCTCACATACATCACAATGTGAGAAAGTTTTAGTTATGGCAAAGTTCACAAGTTTCATCCCATTATCATTATTAAATTTATGTAAACTCTTGTGTCTTATCACTGAAATCTCATGCCAAAATTTCCATATGGTATCTATTAAATATATCAAATATTCATTATAATTTCTCATAAAATTCATCCGTCACCTGATCGCATTTATCTTTGGTGGAGCATGTACTTTTACAATAGTAAAATAGCACCCCTAATGATGAACACTTAAAATCTAAATTATCTTAACTCCACTTCTTTTGGCTTATTTTGGACTTCGCCCATCGTCTGGTATGTAAAAGACAAAAGACCACGACGTTTCAGAGACTGGATCTGTCTCCGTCTTCAGGTAGATGGGGAAGGATAAACCTACTCAGTTGGGCCTGTTAGAAAGAGCTAGTCTCAATCACTGGACCCTATCCATCTGAAGATGGAGACAGATCCAGTCTCCGAAACGTCGTGGTCTTTTGTCTTTTACATACCAGATGATGGGTGAAGTCCAAAATAAGCCAAAAGAAGTACAGTATACACCACCGTCAGAATCCTTTCAAGTATATCTTAACTCCAGTTTCAAAAATAAATTTGTTTAATAAAAAAAATCTGTTCTAAAGCTCTGATCCTTGTTTTCTTTCCACCATAAAATACACAGTTCCCCTTTCCAAGATCATATTAAAACCATCAAATGCAACAAATATATTGTAAAATTCTCATTTATCACAATCTGTTCGAAATGGATAGTGGTAAGCTCAATTTCAAGATCATCCCTTTACAAGCTTCGTTAGGCACCCTATCATATTATACCCCAACTATGTCAGAGAAGCTGAGAGTAGTTGTTCATCTTTTAAAGAAATGCCCTTCCTTTTACAGAACCCAAAGATTCATGCCTGCGTTCACAAGAAACAGTCACTGGTCCCTAACCAAACAAATTTAGTCAGCAACCTCCAACCTTACCTCTTTAAGACCGATTTTAATGTTATTCTTAAAACTGACATACCTTCTTCACTGAAAATTTCAAAGATTTTTCTACATGCTTGGAAATTTGAATTCTTAAGTGAAAACATGTTCAAACATGATATATAGGGCCAATGTTGCTAAGTTTAACGTATTGTGGCGTACAGATCTGTTGCTAGGTAACGATCATAACTTACACGCACACGGCAACAGAAGAACTGTTTTCTATGTGGTCCACGCCCAGAGGGACTGTGTTTTATGCATGGTCCGTGCCAAGTTACCTTGAAGACAATTGGCGCTACAGTTCAGTTGCGGGATATTCACTAGACAGTATCGATGTCAGCACAGAAGCTGAAGAATGTCCACTTTTAAATCTGTTGCCAGGAAACAGCTAGTGGAGACTGTAATAGACTGAGGACACTGGTCTGTGTGTGTCAGTGATCTATAAAGTGTAGTTCCGAGCGGTGTATACAAGTGGCCAATAACTCCATTCACCAATCCACATCCCGTCTGTAGTCACTAATACACATGGCAGTATTTTGTAAATATGGATTTGTTAAACAATGGAACTTGATAAAACTTATGAGAGCTACTTTATTTCAAATGCTACAATCCACATGAGGCTAGCAACACTATAAATAATTACATACAATTTTGTAATTCATTTCTTCATATAATTTCAACCAGTAAAAATTCTATGTTAATGTGTCCAATATAACATCAAAATTGTTCACCGTCACCATATTTTTTTTTTTATTTTAAACACATAAAATTATTTAAAATAGAATGTGTACGCACATTCGTAATCTATTTCTGTACTAAATTTTATGTAACCATTGAACCAATGAACCTAGACATTCCCATAAAACCAAAGACTAAATACATGTATATTTTAGGTTTCTTGTTCAATGCACTGTCAGCATTAATATTATATAGCGCCAATACTGCCATAAGAAACTTTGATTAATTTTTAAAATGAACATACACAACTGCATATTCCTACAATAATACAGTAGTGGCGATAATATCACTATTTCACAGATTATTGCATCGATATGGGGTTATTACCGATAGTAGGAAATGTAAAGAACTTTGAAGTTGGGATGGACATGGCCATGTCTATCAAGTTTCCGTCAACTGCGTCAAACTGTATTGAGAACAGTGACATACACACATACAAACACGACAACGCAGGAGTAACTTTTCTCATAAAATAATATGCAAATTAAATTAAAATGCTCATCGGGGTGATATATATTTTGATACGCAACCTTTATCATGATATTAGTGTGTCAAGAATCCGCTATGTATATAGTATGAATAATCGGTTAAAAAATCTCTTTCTCTTACTAACATCTACAACCCTTAAAATGATAAGACTGCAGCTCATGCATAATGGTATCAGTAGTCATTGAAATGTCAAACGCACTACTGGGAGCCCTATCACGCAGGCGCACGAAAGAATTCTACACGCAACAACAAATAACAGTATCAGCGCCCACCATACAACGCAAAAATGAAAGGGCAGCAACAAATATCGTTAACCGTGTTTATTGTCCAGCGATTTTCAAAATCTCACATTCACATACGCTTGTAAACGAACTCGATGTCACATTCGTTCAGTGTACACTCAAGCACTGAAAACTTACGGAAGTTTCATGGTGTCCCTTCGCCCACGCTCGACAAATTTTCTGTTACAAAAAATTTATACTGTACTTCTCAGAAACTTTATAAAGTCCCTAAAATTGTCTGGCGTCTTTACAATTTCTTCACTCGTATTTTGTGCTGTTGATGCAGTCCATACTCTGGAGCAGAGCCGTTTTCTCTGTCACCACACGCATTATCTGTACAGCACATGACGAGAATTTGACGTCACACTTGTTATCAGTCTATATACGTCACACATTCCGATTATAACATATTAACATTTTGATTGCTTCCTTACATGGCATCTTCGTAATATTTTTAATTCGGCGTATCTCAACTATTCGTGTTGTGGTTAGTTCTGTACCATGTTCTTATGTAACAGGCCATGACACAGAATCCGAACAACATACAACGTATCGTAAACTACAGTACTTGGAAAACCTGCAACGTCCATATTGTAACACGGACTCGGATTTCAAAATTGTCTGAGACAACACTGGCAATCTCGGTCATTCCTCGTAGTTTAAGGGCAGGCGTACAATCAACTGATTCCCTACAATTCACTAATGTTAAAATAAAAAAATCCAGCAAGTAATTGTTAAAAGCTGAGACACAGGGGGGCAATTTACTTCACAGTGACTTCTCGAAACACACAAAGAAAAACAGATAAGAAGCCCTGGCCAGCACGTGTAAATAAGAGGGCATGGAATGGTTTAATATCGGCTGCATTTCCAATTGGAGGCAGAAGAAAACATCTTCTCCGCCATTGTTTGTCATTAAGTAATATGCATGCTTTGAGTAGCGGCAAAAATAAGTACATTCCCCCATAATCCAAATGACAGCCTCTATCGCAATTCAAATTGCTGAAGGGCTACAGTAAAATGAACATACTTCCAGACTGGATCACAACATACCGTCAGTGACACGTATCAGTTTCATACACACGTGTGTTAAGCAGACATGATAGCATTTGCATACCTGTTAGTGAAATCTTGTGGAGGTGGTGAGAACCCTTTAGTATTGGTGGCAGTCTTGCCGCTCACCAGAATGCTACGGAAAATCATGACATGAATTTCCCGATCGCGATTTCTGGTAAAAATACGACAGCAGGTGTTTCCCATCCATGGACGTCAACACAACACTGGCAGGCGAAGCAACCGCACACAGCCAACTGCGCTATGTTCCCTCTTCTCCCCGCCACAACAAGGTTCCATTCATTATCCAAATTATTTACTCAAAGAATATTACGAAGGCATCCATTTCTCATGCCACGTATCCACTGCGTTATCGGTTACCGGCAGGGGTCGACAAACTATATCCGTAAGGACAGACTCGACAAAACAACACTGAATTTGAATAAACAGTGCTACTACTATCTAGTCACTGTCGTGTTCGCATATACAGGACATTAAAAAATTGGGTTATAGGGTTCAAGGAGGTATAGTACTCACTTAAATTATCCACAAAATTCCCATTCAACATATGTCCAAAAACCAGCTGCCCAGATATGGGCTATATTCGTGTGATCCCTACAGCAGACGGTCTATGTCAGTGTTTCTCAACCTTCTCATGCCCAGGGACCAGTAAAATGTCTGAAAAAAATTCTACGAACCACCAACTTATGTAGTCCTATTTTTTAAACCTATGTGGTATTTACCAATATTTGGGACATACTGTGCCATTTATGGCATAATAAATCTAAAAGCATGCTTTGAATACATATGGAAACATAATTAATTAAATTGGAAGTAAACTATTAAAAGTGAATCATCATTGAACAAAGATTTTAGTTTTATTAAACAAATAAAGAATATGATATAACTATTTTTACTTGCTTACTTAATTTTAATTTGTTTTGGTTGGATAATTTTTAATTTAATTTAACTCTGCTTGCGGACCACCTGTCCCATCATCGAGGACCACAGGTTGAG